GTCCTGGTGAGGACGAGCGCGGAGTGGCGCGTAAACCACTGAGTGGTATGGATCCGGTCGAGGACCTACCGCTACGTGGCCCGAGGGCCGCGGTCAACTGCGAGTCGAAGCATCGTGGGCGAGGCCCAGAAGATGCAGGTGTAGAGACACCTAGTTCACTGAGTGAGGGTCATGGACCGCATGGCTCTGAGCCGAGTTTCTCGCGGGACACTGTTTCCTCTCCGAGGAGCGTTGGAGCTCCTGCACCCGGTGGAGGTGACGGAGCTGTCACTGCATCGCCCTCGTCCGGTCGAGCTCGGTCGCGGAGGGAGAGGAGAAGAGACGTAGGACGTCTGCGACGTCTTTGGCGTCGAACGAGGCGTCTAATGTGATGAGCAGCGAGGCTCCACGTGATTGCTGTGAACAGCTGCACACACTCGTGAACGGAGTGACGGGGAAGGTCGAAGGCGACATCAGCCTTGACTCTCTACCTGCTGTGAATGCTCTGATAGAGCTGGACGAGATGTCCGCCGCCGAGTTTGGCGAGGCCTTGAAGATAGGCGACTTAGCCGATGTGGTCTGGATAAGACCTGAGGAGGAGTTGAACTCCTCGTCCGTTGTGGACGACGCGGTCCTGGAGGACACCAAGAAGGCGCTAAGGGCGAGGAGTGGATCTGTAGTCCTTAAAGATCCTTTGGATCCTTCTACGCGGTAGTGAAGGAGTATGGAGACGTGGTCTCGAGAAACCCGCCGATGGGTTTGCCTCCAGATAGAGGCGTGTGTCATGCGATTGACCTGGTTCCTGGAACCAAATACTGTGTGACAAGGCAGTGGCCTTTGCCAAAAGAGCAGTGTGACGTCATTGACGCATTTTTCCGTGCAAAGCACGAGACGGGGTTGGTGCGTGAGCGTACGTCTCCGCACTCGACACCCACTTTCTGTGTCAGAAAGCCGAATGGCAAATGACGCATTGTGCATGCTTTCAATAAATTAAATGCGACCACCATTCCGGCGCAAACGCCGATTCCTCGCAAGGATGTTCTGCAGAATAACATGGTAGGCTGTATGCTGTACAGCGCAATCGACTTGGTCGATGGTTACTACCAATTGCTCATGGGAGCGAGCGACATTCCGATTATCATCGGACGTGCCATCCTTGGCACGTTAGCATGCAGCTTAGCCTGCTGCTTCAGAATAAACTCCTCTTGCATTGCAAGAGTGATGGCAGCTTCGATAGTACTAGGGTACTCTCGAAAGAGATAGGTCTTCACAGGCCCATACTTCAAGCCCTTCATGAACGTGACGACCTTAGTCGCCTCGTCGATCGGGTTGGTCACGATATTCGAGACTAAGTACCGCGCACGTTGGGATTAAGTATGAACGTCTTACAAATATCTCACAATTTATTGAAGCCGTATATGTGTTTGTATTACTCCGTATCATATCAGGTTGTACTTCAAACTGTTGTTGTTGTTATTCCGTTTTGCAGTGTGCATGAGGTATCCAGTCCCATCTGACGGCAACTACACATACCCTGACACCCGGATTGGTGCCAGACAGGAGTTGTGAATCTAAACGACACCCCGGGAATAACCAAAGGGTCATTCGCCAATCCTGGATGGTCTCTTGGGCCGCTCAGGAGTGATATTGTAAAAAGCCAAAATTCCTTGGGCCAACAAAAGTACTCGCCTACCTCATATCCGACTAGGGTGCATGCCCATTCCTATTGATGGAATTCAACCTCGCCTTATGTAAACATCCGGTCGTGAGTAGTCCAGTCTTGTCCAAGCTTGCGTATAGATATGGATCCTTAACTGCCGTCTCCATTCCCAAGCATCGGATGCATCCCGTGCCTTGGTCTACGAGGCGACAGATATGTAGAACTACGAAACTGTTGATGGAAATTCAGTCGAGACTTTGAGGTGTGAGAGGATTAATCTAGCAGTACAACCCACGAGTAGGGAGAAAAGTCAATTGACTTGAGAAAACGCAAGAGGCATTCTGCGACGGTATGATGATGTGATGTGATTGGTTGAAAAAACTTTATCAAAAGCTTAATCATGTATTGCCAAGATTCAAATACTGTTTACTTGTTTGGGTGCTTCTACTACGTCGTCGCGAGCAGAGTGAACAACATCGCTTGTGCGTCTTGGCTGTTTTCGTGGTTTGGAGGTTAGTTGGTGGTCTCTATCCTGATCTTGGTAATTTTGTCGGACGAGTTCGAGTACTGTTGACAGCTTCAGCTGTTCTGTTCTACGCTTTCGTTTGCTCGGTCTTAGTCGAAGTATCTCACATCCTATGGTAAACAACTTGATAGCGTGGGGTTCATCGACGACTGTAGGCATTGGAGTGCCCAAGTGTGCTTCAATTCGGTTCGTGATGTGCCTCATCATGATTGACCACTCAGATAGTGTTCCTTTTTTCTGAGGTGTATCTAAATCATCAGACGGTATTCCTCTATACGGAGGGTAGCCGAAGTTTGGATTCCCAAACCGTCAAAGCAGCCATGCGCCTAGGGGTCAATGCTCGGAAAGTTAAATTCTCTGGGAAGAAGGTGAAACTATCCACCCCACGTAAAATACGAGCGTTTTGGTGCAGTAGTAGCTACAGCGTCGCGAGTTAGTAAGTTATGTTGAAGACCGACTTTTACTAACAAATTGTGAATTTCTTCGCGTAATAACTCTCGCGCAATTTTCCCAGCTGCAACACCATTGCTTTCCAGCACGTGCTCCATCCTTGAGCACCACTGGATTTCGTATTACGTCCGTTGAAAGTAGAGCGTGGTTATTTGGTGAATGCGTCTGCAAATAATGAACGTGTTGAACCAGACTAGCGAGGCATAACTGTAATACCCCCATCATATTGACCTCACCACACAGACTAGGAAATATAGTAAACTCCGTTAGAACAAGTTCGTCGTGATCGTCAAAGAACCTGCCGGTGTTAGCATTTTCCTTGGATAGCTCCTCCACAATCCATCTCTTGATACCGTTCAGACTGCTCTTATAGTTCACTCTGGTGTGCTTGGACACGCAGGCATCGCGTATTGCCTCTACATCGCTTGCTGCATCACCCGTGGGTTGCGAACTTCCACCACTCATTGTGCCTGCGTTCGATTCGTTTTCTGATTTGATTCAGCAAATAGGAGGCTGTGGTTATCGTAGGCGGTTACACCTTACGATTTCTTAACACTTTCGCGATAAAAGGAAGCTGAATGTCCCCTTTTCCTGGTTTTCAACTAAGTACGACGATGTATCCATGTTAAAGGAGGCAAAATGCCTCCTTTTATAATTAAGTACGTTTACAACAGGTCGTTATAGATATAGAAAAACCAAGCAAATCACACTTGGAAGATTTGAAGGTGGTACATCACTCGCCTTAAAGGAGGCATTTTGCTTCCTTTTGATACCGACTATCCTAGATTTGTATACTATAGTTTACCAAAGTGGCTCGCGAAAGGGTTAATAGAATCCATTCCGATAAACGATAAGGGTCGGACGCCGACGATTTGACGTAAACTACTATCTGTTACTTACGAAAGCGAAGGAATCTATTTTCCACCTGTGGGAGTAGGCGCTCTGATAACTTGTGATAATCCACATACATTTTTCACACAGTGAAACTATATTTTAACAGGTAAATAAAAAAATAACCCTCTCCAGGGGAGCTCACACAATGAATCAAAAATCATGGTTGACAGTAGCTTTAATGAATATTACTTCTAATACACTCCGCGACAGGATGGATCGGCCACCCACGTCGGTGGCCGTAACTTCGTCGATTTTAGGAGTTGGAGGGCGCTATTTAGATATGTTTTAGAGGTAATTTAGGGCAAGGCGGTGTTTGTGCTAACGAGCAAGAATTGG